AGCATGCATTTCCTAAAATACAGGGACAAAACACAATCACTCACACTGACAACTGATTTGATACCCTTGATATTCCTTGATTAAAAACAATAATAATAAACTCCCTATATCCTTCTTCTGATGCCTTGACAAAAAACTTTTTATACAAAAAACACTGGCTCCGGAGTTAGAAGATATAGGTTCAAATCCAGTCTCTTTGATGCTCACAACCACTGAACCCTTGAGTCTGTAAGTCACTTAACTACTCTTTGAGACCTAGTTTCCTCATCTGTGAAACGAGAGGGTCACAGTAGACAAGCCTCAGAGGTCCTTTCCAGTTCTAAGTTTATTGTCCTACATATTTGTAGTAATAGAAAATTTCACATTGCTTTCTAAATAAAATATTACCATCAACACAAATTTCAAAGCCATATAATGTTAGCTGAAGAGATAAGCCAAAGCTGTTTACTTCCATGCCTTTTACTTTAAGGTTCTGACGTGGAAGAGACAGGTAAAATGCCAAAAATTAATGAAGTATTATTTATTTAAGAATCGGCCACGTTCTAGTATGTAAAGAAAACCATTTGCAATGCACGACCAAAAAGGATGAGAAATAGACCAAAGACTTAGAACTGGCAGGGACTTCAGCTTAGGGTGTCCTGTCTTATTCTTAGTTCCCTGATTTTTGTGGTTTTAAGAGCTTAAAAATTACCAAGGAAAATTCCCAAGGTAACCCAGGTTTTTATGTTAGTGAACAGAAAACAAAGTTCTCAGACATTAAATCTATACTATTCCCTCTGTTTTCAAGGCCCCTGAAATAACAGGCTTAATAAAGGGCCATAAGGACTTTAATTTTGTCTATTCCGTAAGTGATGCTCATCAAATTCAGTCATAATTCGTTTGTGGTTTAGCCATTTTCAGCCATGTCCAGCTCTTTATGGCCTCTTTTGAGGTTTTCCTGGCAAAGATCCTCAAGTGGTTTGCCATTTCCTTCTTCAGCTCATTTTACAGACAAGGAAACAGAGGCAAACAGGGGCAAGTGGCTTTCCCAGGGTAACTGAGCTAGTGAGTGTCTGAAGCCACATTTGAATTCAGGTCTTCCTGACTCCAGGCCTGGTGATCTACCCACTGTTCCACTTAGCTGCCCATAATTTGTACCGGACTCCAAATAAAATTGTGACCAAATATTCTATTTTATTCAAAATAAGAGCACAGAAACATTAAACCAATAACTATTATTCAGAATGTACATAAGCTTATTTAGTTGTGGTTTCCTGTAGGCCAAGGTTTTTAACCTTTTTATGTCACAGACCCCTTTGGCAGTATGGTGAAGCCTATGGACTCCTCAAAAAATGTTTTTGAATAATTGAAGGAAATGCAAAATTTTACTTGGATGTAATTTTTTCCCCATCCAAGTTCACAAATCCCCCTGAAATCTCATCCCTGAGCCCCAGTAGAAGCTGATACTCTCCTCTATATAGGTTTTCATAAACATCATTCTCACCTGGTTCTCCTACCTATCTGACCACTCCTTCTCAGTCTCCTTTGCTGGATCCTCATCCAAGTCACACCCTCTAACTGTAAGGGTCCTACAGGTTTCTGACCGGGGTGCTCTTCTCTCCTCCCTTTTACCACTTCACTTGGTGGTCTTATCAGTTCCCATGGATTTATTTATCATTTCTGATATGCTGATGATTCTAAAATCAATATATCCTGCCCTGACCCCTCTGCTGACCTCCAATCTCACATCCCCAAGTGCCTCTCAGACATCTCAAATAGACCAACAGACCAACAGGTCCAACAGATCTCTTAAACTCAATAAGTCCAAAACTGAACTCATTCCCCTTCCCTCTAAAATCTCCCCCCTCCTAACTTCCTTATTATGATAGAGGGCAATACCATTCTCCCAGTACCTCAGGCTTGCAACCTGGGTATAATCCTCAATTCTTCACTGTCTCTCACCCCACCTCCCAATATTCAATCTGTCGCCTATACCTTTGAAACACCTCTTGAATATGCCCCCTTCTCTCCTCTGGTAGTGCCGCCACCTTGGCCCTTATCACCTCACACTTCGACTATTACAGTAGCACACTGAAGGGTCTGTCTGTCTCAAGTCTCTCCCCCTCTCCAAACACCTCCTTTGGCTGCCAACATGATTTTCCTAAAACACAGGTCCCATCATGTCACCCCCTGATCAATAAATTCCAGTGGCTCCCTATTGCCCTCCAGGATCTAACACAAAATCCTCTGCTTGCTGTTCAAAGCCCTTCATGACTTAGCCCCACCTACTGTCACTATCTTTCCAGTCTTCTTACACTTCATTCCCCCACCACATACTCTCTGATCCATGACACTGGCTTCCTCACTGTTCCTTCAACAAGACACTCCATCTCCTGACCGAGACATTTTCTCTGTCTTCCATGCCTAGAACAGCTCTCCCTCCACATCTCTGCCTATTAGTTTCCCTGGCTTCCTTCATGTCTCAACTAAACTCCCATCCTCTACAAGAGGCATATCCCAACCCTTCCTAATTCTAGTATCTTTTCTCCTGTAATTATTTCTTATTTTTCCTGTATATAATTTATTTGTACATACTCATTTGCTTGTTAGCTCCTTCAGGGTAAGAAACGTCTTTTGCCACTTTTTGTATTCCCAGTGCTTAGCACAATGCCTGACACATAGCCAGGGAATAATAAATGCCCACTGACTGACTGACCAACAGGAATTCACCCTGTAGAAATTCTTCCTTAACCTTCGTTATATTCCAAGTTATTACTAAAAACTGATTACTAAAACTAAAAACTAAAAACATGAAGTTTCCAAGAGTCTCTCACCTTCCCAAAAGGCTCTTATTAAACACAATTACTCTCAATAAACTGCTCTGAAATTGGGCTTTGTGGCATACATATAATATTGTGTTGTCATGCTGTTTTTCCTATTTAATTCTTATAAGCTAGCAAAATGTTGAAATTCACCCCCCCCCAAAAAAATCCTGTTCTTGAAGAATAGTTCTTGGATGGTTTTCAACATAATCTGACTGTTCTTAAGAACTGAGCTGGGGAGAACAACACAATGAATGTATCCATGATTCTTCTCACAAGCACCTCTTCCCTAAAAACTATTTCTCCATTCAAATTTCAGTATTGTCACCATGTTCCTCTATTCATTTTTCTGGTCTAATGAGGATCAAAATCCTTTCTAATCCTTAAAAGCTAAATAAGGTTTTCAGGGTAATGTTTAATTTTTAAGTCTGTCAGCCTCTACATTGTCCTTTGTCAGATCTGAAGGTAACGGAAGCATGTTACATGTCTGCTTCAGATTAAATAAATTATTACAGAAGAAAGAATTCTTCTCAACCTTGTCAGTTCAGCAGCTATGATTAGTTTTTTTTCCCCAAAAACGTTTTTCTACACTTCTCTAATCAACTAAAAGAATTTCATTTTTATTGAGAAATATATTTAACCCAAACTGTTTAAATACACAGTTTCTGTGAACTCATACTCAGATAAATTAATAGTCTCCTTAGTAAGTAGGAGATAATATTCTTTCCAGGAATCGGTGGTAACCTTTCTTGGTTCAGACCTGTGATTTCATCAGTGTAGGGAATTCCCAAGTACAGAAACTCTGTCAATGATGCAGCAGAGCCACTAATCTGTAACTTTAGAGTATTAGAGTTGCCTGATGCTCTAAGAAGTCATGACTTCCCCAGGGTAATACACCTAGTATATGTCAGAGGCAAGATTTCAACCCAGGTTTTCTAAGTTCTAGGATGCCATGAAGGAGACAGATGGTCACTGCCTCTCTAATTGTCACATGGGACTTCCAAATCAGATTTTTTAAATCATCAGTTATATACTTTGGAATTTTAATTTAATCTCCATCACCATTTCACTCTCTCTTTTTTAAAAAATTAAAAACCTAAGAGATTTTATATCATGTTTGAGGCTTTTTGCTATCAAAAGCCCAATTTTTCTATACTAGCCTCTAGCATACAAAGCTATACAAAAAACAAAACATACCAAAAAATACAGAACCAAATGAAAGATAACAAATTAGCTAGGCAAGTTGCTGAGTTTCTTTAAAACCACTAGCTTATGTAGTATTGTCCATATTCTTTATCATTTTATTCATGAAAGTTCAGTTGACTGATATATTTCTTAGAAGCTGGATTGTGATATACTTCAATATAATGGGAGCCAGATTCTGATAAATCGGAGAACAATGACTGCTCATAAACACAAAGCAGACAGAGGGGAAGGGAAGGTAAATTGAGAATACTTAAACACCAAAGCAAAAAAGTAAGGAGCTTAAAAATTCATATAATCCTCAAAAATATCCCTCATACAAATATACCAATGACTTCTTTCCAAGAAAGACATGGCAGGGTCGAGGGGGGAAAAGGGTTAAGTGGATTGTGATTATACCCATTTTTATTAATGTAATGCCACAAACTTAAAAATGCTTGTAATTCATTAGGGTGACTAAATTTTTTTATTTTAAAAAGCTAACCTTTCCCATAACTTCTTCATAAAGCATTAGTTCCTTCTATGGGATTATCTACTTCCTGTAGTCAAGTCTACAAAAATGATAGTCATTGGTATATACAATAAACCCATCATAATGCCCATAGAGCCAAAAGCTTTCACATTATTAAAAAGGTAGGCCTATACAGCTTGGAACAGTTAATGAATTATTTTCTGGCACTTCATTTTTCCATTTGCAAATCCAGCATATTCTCCCTAGAGTATCAGCTATCCTTCCAATGATCACCGGTGATTTATATAAAAAAACAAAAAATACTTCTTAAAAGGGTAGGGTGGAGAAAAATAGACAACTAGTCATCTAACTAGCCAACTACAGGCTTACTTCAATAGCATACCTAACTATTCCAAAGTCTGTCACAATGGTTTAATTTGATAATCCCATTACTCTTCATTTCAAACATTTTAACAGGTAACACATTCAGATGGGGAAAATTATATACATGCATATGCATATAAACATCTAGCCATAAAACTTACCTTTCAGCAGAGGCAGAGGCGTTAACTCAATAGGCTTGCCCTGAGACCTGAACTGTGAGGAGCTTTGCGACCTCTTCTGTCTGGCTTTCCTGACGGACTTCCGAGAAAATCCGTCTACTTTATCCACTGATGGAGGAGTGGTTGGTGCTGAGGACATATCCCTACTGAAGAGAAAGTAGTATTATAAATACAGTCCCAAAGCAATTGCAAGAAGGTGCTAGGCACAAGTTAAATATTCAAAATCACATAAATGATGCCTATACAAGTAAAAGTAAACTGGTAGTATGCTACGAGGAAAGTATGAAAGAAATAAGCAATACCAGAAGTTTGATCAATTACTTTGCTATGCTGTTTTTCTCTAGACATACCATTTCTAGATTCTAAAATGCTTCTTATGGAATCTTGCTTCCTATAATAATGATAAAATCATCAAATCACATTTATAAATTAAAACCAGAAAGTCTTAATACATTTCCCCCAAATATTTAAAACTACGAACGACATCCAGATTTTTCCTATTCTTTTTCCACTGAGCAACTATATCATTACTTTACCAAGAAGTGAACCAAAATTGTTGCAGTTATCTAGAGATGACTTTTAACATGTTATCTATGATAAAAGTCCCACAATGCAAATGATGACAGGTTCAATTACTTTGCAAAGAACACATAAAAGGGCATGATTGAGATTATTTCAAAAATGAGGCTTCTTTTTGAATGAAGCCATCTTACATTATTAAAGCTGAATATAAAAAAACTATGATGAAATCATGCAGTAAACACAGCTGAACTCAAAACAAAATTCATAGCCTTCTCAGACAACCAAATTGAATTCCCCTGATGTTTAGGCAATGAAGTTCATCACCATTTAACATCAACTTTCACGTCTTCAAACTGACTTTTGCCCCCAAAAGAAGATTCTTCACTTTCAAATAAATTAAAAAGGATGTAGCCTGAAAGCAACAAGCCTTATACTTGTTTTCATTCAGCACCTGAAACAGAAGCCACCATCTCCACGGCACTAAGGCCTCAATGCAAGATTAATGGTAGAGTAGGACAGAAATACCACCTATGGAAAAATGCTGAAATACAATAACTTATCTGCAGGTCCAATATATAAAACAAGTGTTTCTTACAGAAGTGAGTAAGGAACTTTCTCCTTGATTTTAAATGTTATTTATCTACATTCTAAATTTTTTTAAAGAAATACATGCCCACATACACAATATTAAGGTTTGGGTTTTTTAAAGATCTATTTCATTTTCTTCAAAGAGCTTTTTCCAGCTGATCATAGTACCCAAACTTTCTTTAAAAAAAAAATCTATCCATGTGATCTTAAATACAAACATAACAGCTAAAATGGAATTGCATGCTATTAAAGGGTACAAGTCACAAGAGACACTTTTTTTATACTGAATTTAGGAACACTCTCTACATCCTGGTTTATGAATTATTTAGCTCTAATTGTAACTCAACAAGACTTAAATTCCCTAAATCCTGTGCTTCCTTCACTCCTTTCATCTCCCTTTTCCACTTTCCCTCCCCCATTTCCAACTTTGAATCTCTGGTACAATGACAGATACCAAGACAGAGTTTATATAAACAGAGAATTCCAATGACTTGACTCTTCTGTCCAGAATGAAAAATGAACGTCAAGAATGTCAACCCCAACATACTTGACAATATCTATCAATAAGTTTGAATGCAAAAGCAACGAAGAAGCATTCACCAGATCCTAGTTTAAGGTGCCTTTTATTTTCCACTGGGCAGCAGGCACTGGGTATTTTCCAGGGAGTTAAAACTCAAAAAGGAGGGAAGGAAGGAGAGAGAAATGGAGAGGGAAGGGTTAGAAAGGGAAGAGAGAAATGGGAAAGAGGAAGAAGGGGAAAAGAGATGTGAATGGGGAAGAGGAAAGGATGGAGATGGAGAAGGGGAAAGGGAAAGAAATGGGGGGAAGGGAAGGAGAGAGGAAGAGATGGAGAAGGGAAAGGATATAGGAAGAGATGGAAGAAAGAGAAAGATGGAGAAGACGAAATGTAGTAATGGAATGAGAGGAAGAGATGGGGATGGAGAAGAGGAAGAGAGGGGGAAGGGGAAGGAGAAGATGAGATGGAGAAAAGGAAGGAGGGGAAGAGATGGGGATGGAGGAGAGAGGAAGCGATGGGGAAAGGGAAGGAGAAAGAGAAGAACAGAGGAGGAAGAGATGGGGAAGGAGAAAGATGAGAATGGAGGGGAGACGAAGAGAAGAGAAAGGAAAAGGGAAGAGATAGGGAAGGGGAAGGGGGTCTGTCAGTGGGGATGCCACCCCCTCGTCTCCCTTCCCGCCCCCCGCCCCCAGCCCTAAAGAAGAGAAGCCGCTGCTCGAACCTCTTCCCCAAAGCAACCCGGGCCGCGGGTGGGAGAAGGAGGGCGGGGGAAGAATCTGACCCCGATCCTGGAAGGGAAGGGAAAGGGGGGAAGAGTGTTAATGAAAAGAGCCGGGACCATTTCCAGGTAAAGCCGACGAGTGGGGAGCGCTCGGGCCGGGCCCTGTCCCGGGCCGGGCCGGGCTGCGGGCAGGTTTCTTCCCCCCGGAGGGCGGGCTGGAAGAGGCCAGCCACGGGCAGGTCCGGGCCGGGCGGCACGGGGGCGAAGTTACCTTGAAGCTCCTGGGAGAGAATCCGGAGATGATCGGTGGTTCCTGGGTGAGGGTGCGGGGCCGCGGGGAATGGAAGGAGGCTGGCGGCGGCGGCGGCTCCGGGAGCGGCTGCGGCAGCGTGCGGCGGCGGGGAGGCCGGGGGACGGGAGGGAGCCCCAGGCGACAGCAGACCCGTGCGGTGTCTCTCCGGCTCGGCTCGGCGGCTGCGGCGGCGGGAGAGGCGGCGGCGGCGGCGCCTCTAGGCCTCACAGCGGTACCCAAGGGCTCCGGCTCCGGCAGCGGCGGCGGCGGCGGCGGCGGCAGCTTCACGATCCTCCCCCGCGGGCCCGTCCCATCAAATCGGCATCTACCCCGCTGCGGCCCCGGCGGTTCCTCACTCACATTCCCGGCGGGCGGCGCCTTTGCTCGTTGCCCAGGACCCGGCGGCGGCGGCGACGACGTGGGGAGGGGGGAAAGGGAAGGGAGGGAAGCTGGATCCGCCGCAGCAGCAAGAGGGAGAAGGAAGGAAGAGGAGGAGGAGCCGCAGATGCTGGAGCCGCAGCTGCCGGAGCCGCCGATCGGTATCCGCGGTAGGTTTCAGTCAATGCCCCCTTTCTCTCTCCTATTGTCAATATCACCGAGCCGCTGAGTCCATGGCACAAGCACAACCGAACATGCTGGCGACCAGGACCCGCCCCCCGCAGCTGGCCACTGGAGCCTTTAAAAGGGAAGTGCTGCCCCATTGGTCCGCTTGCGCTTTCACTCCTACTCCAGCAGGTTAGGCTGAGAGCAGGTCAGGGATTGGCGGCGGGGGGGCGGGGAGACGGCAAGGGTGGGAAGAAAAAGGCTGCTGATTGGGCCGGCGAGTGTTGTTACCCGGATGCAACGGCGAGGCCGGAGATCGCTGTTGCTGTTTCCGGCATCGGCCTCGACTCAGTTGCTAATGACCCAGAGGAAGGTTTAGCGGGGTTGGCGGCTGGCTGGAGTGGAGGGGTGCCGGGAGACCAAGTGGCCTGGTGCCCGTTGCCAGTGGGACAGAGGAAACCGCGGCCTCTGGTGAGGGGACCCCGATGGGAGATAGATGGGGAAGCGATGAGGAACCGTCCTCCCCTGCCTCCGCTAGAGCTGATCTTAGTTCTCGCCTTCCCGGGCGGCTCATGCAGCAGGGGCAAGGGTGCCTGGTGACCCCGAAACCGTAAGAGAAGCCTCCCGGCAGTGCGCCTTGCAGCCCGCTTCCTCAACCAGATTGATTGTGACGGTGGTCCTCGATCCAGGATTCTCTGCCATTAGCCCGCCTTCTCCACCGACTCCAGGCAACAGTCCTGCACTGGGGACCCGAGCCCAACAAGGGTCCTGACCAGGGAACCTCCTAAGGATGCTTCGATTCCCCGTCTTCCTATTGTACCATTGTTTTGTTCTGTCCTTCCTTTCCAAAATTAAGAATCCTGTGTTTGGCCTTTTCTACTTCGTTTGCAAGAGTTAGGAAGGCTCTTGAAGAAACATTTATTCTAGTTCACATAGACATAGGATCGTTAATTTGGAATTGGAAGGAACCTTAAGAGTTCATCTGTCCCAGCCTCTCCTTGGCAGGTAAGGAAACTGAGACTCAGAGAAATTATGTGACGCGTCCCAGGTCACACAGGTAGTGTGACTCCAAATACAGCCCGCTTTCTACCGACCCACAGTGCTTAGACATTATGTTTGACACCGTGCCAAAGAAGAGAGAATGTGGTATATAAAATAGGGTATAATGTAACAACCACTACTAGCCAATGGTCCGAAGAGCTGTTCAGGTCCCATGTTGGAAACTCTTTATGAGATTACTCCTCTTCCCTTAGTTCCTTATCTATGTACCTGACCTTGCTACATCACAGGTTTACAAGGCTCAGGTAAAATAAGATAGGTGAAAGTGCTTTAAAAATTGTGAATTCCCATGCAACAAAACTTAAAATATAGTATGGCCTCCCCCAGGAATTCTATCCCTTCTTATCTTTGCCTTTTAGAATCCCTAGTTCCAGTTAAAAGTTTTAAGTCCGATGACCCTGAATCCTTTCATGATCAATTCAGGCCCTACCCAAAAATTAAGTTTTATTTAATTTCTATATAGCTTGTATTTCCTTTTCTAACATACATAATCTTTCCTCCTTCCTATCCTCCAGCAAGTTCCTTGAAGGCAGGGACTGCTTTCATTTTTGTTCTTTACATCTGTAGTGCCTGCTAAGCACAATACCTAGCACACAGTAGGTGTTTAATAAATGCTTGTTGACTTAACAAAAATATTTATTAAGGAACTGTGGATACAGAGTTAAAAGCAGAAATCTGCTTTCGAGAATCTTATATGTCTTATATATTATATATTCCTACAAATGCAAAATACTGTTACTACAAAATATCCCTTTATAAGTTTACAGTCTTAAAACAGGCAATGTAATATAGATGAGGATATGAAAGAAAATAAAAATTTATGGTGTACCTTCAACAGTGTTAAATTCTGCCCCCCCCACTTCAACCCAATCTAAATAGGGGTAGTTCCATTAACACGAAATTATAATATGTTTATAAGGAGTAAAATGCAAATAATATATATTAGCACAATTCAGAAGAGTTAAGAACATTATAACAAGAACCACTTATTTTTAGCAATACTCTACTGATCTTTAAAGGTTAAATAATAGGTTAACTAAGGGCTATCTATTTTTCGTGACTCACCATATCAGTTTAGTAGTTATTGAGTTCATCTACACTGGAAAAACAAAAGTAGATGAAAATGACAAGACTGCAGCAGGTAGGTAGATGGAGAACCTATTAGTTGAGACCATTTATATGGATGGATGGATAGCTGGATGGTCACTGCAGATATAAAATGAGCTAGACTCAGAATTGTCTAGGACAGAGGGGGAGAACCTTTGGCTTCGAGGCCACATGTGGCCCTCTAGGTCCTCAAGTGTGGCCTTTTGACTGAATCCAAACTTCACAGAACAAAACCCCTTCAATAAAAGGATTTGTTCTGTAAAACTTGAACTTAGTCAAAAGGCCACACCCAAGGACCTAGAAGGCCACGGGTGGCCTCAAGGCTGTAGTTTCCCTACCCAGATTAGACAGGGGGAAATTTATGGGAAATTTTACTTTCAATGATTGCAAACTTCTCAAATCCTCAAAACTCCATTAACATCAATATTCTCAAACTATGTGACTGAGTCATAAAAATCTTGATCTTGGAAGAATTAATATTTTGAAAATCCAAACATACAAGGCCCACATAAGTAGACTACAGCATATTACAAAGAGTAATATCTATTCTAAATGGCATAAGAGACATTGAAGATTTTGACAAAAATGGTAACACATGAACAGCCTAAATGGTACATTGGTGCCAATAGGATATTAAGTTGACCGGAATACCTCTTCTGTTGAGTGTATACTCTATAGAAAATGAATGAAAAAAGATTAAATAAAAATTGTAAAGGTTATGGTGTGATTGCATTAATGGAAAGAATGAGAACCCACACCAATACAATCTCATATCTATCAAAATATTTAGTGCCTACTACATGCTCAACATGGGGGAAGAATACAAAGAAATTTGTGGGGAAAAGCTTGTATGAATTATATAACAAAAGGAAATGAGATACCCCAAGATAGGATATAATTGCCATTGAGTACAATGTAGTTTGGTTAGTTTAGACATTTTTCCTAGAGGAAGGGTGAGGGGGGGAAGGGGGTAAAAATGGGAATAGGCAAACAGATAGAAAAGAATAAGAACACTAAGTATGTGAGGGCAGTCCCTGAATGCCAAAGGAATTTTACTAATTCTGATGTGCATCCTTGTCTAGGTTACGCTTGCATGGTATATATAGTCAGTATTGCCTGACATCTGTTTACCACATTTTATAAATTCACAACATTTATAGCGGGCTCCAACTCCTCTTGTTTTCCAAAGTACAAAACTTAGTCTCAGCCTTCCTGGGTGGTTTATAATAAACCTGTAGTTCTGGGAGCTTCATGAAATTGTTACACTGGATATTTCATTTCTCAGCAGCAAAACTAGTTGGCAGTGAAGTGGGTTGGTGTTTATCTCCTTATATCCTTTTTGCTTGTGTGTATATACTATTAATAAAGTCTTTTGCTCGATCAGTTGAGTGTGGAGCTCTATTTCTGTTGTTAAAGTCCTGAAGTGAACTGATGGTAGAGTTATACAGGAAATAAATATAGGGAATCAGAGGATGGAAACACCACTTAGCAGCTGGACAAGTATAGGAAGCTATGAAAATCTTATTCTTTCATTTACAAATGGTTTACAGAGGTGATAGAACTAAAGCTGAGCCTTAAGAGATATGGATAGGAAGAAAGAAGAAGGGCAATTCTAATGGAAGGATAACATAAGCAAAAGCACAGGAGGAGGAAAATGTAAATGAAGAGGACATCAAGTAGACTAATTTGACTAGAGAACAGGGTTCATGTTGATGAGTTGTAGGAGGAAATAAAGCTGGAAAGGTAAGTTGTAGCCGGATGTTGAAGGCCTCAAATCCTAAGGAGTGTAAACTTTAATTCTTTTCATTTGTAATTATGTTTGTTGAGTTGTTTCAGTCATGTCTGACTTTGTGACCCCTCTTTGGGGTTTTCTTGGCAAAGATCCTGGAGTGGTTGGCCATTTTCCTTCTCCAGCTCATTTTACAGATGGGGAAACTGAGGCAAACAGGGTGAAGTGACTTGCCCAGGGGCAAGTGTCAAGTGTTTGATCTGAGACTGAGAGCGGATTTGAACTCAGGTCTTCCTGACTCCAAGGCCCGAACTCTCTCCGATGCGCCACCTAGTTGCCCAAAAACATACCTTTTAAAGATAATTGTGCTACACACTAGTGATATCATGAGGCAAACAGTCTGTTTTCAGGGATCTCACACTCTAATAGTAGGAAAAGGCGTGCACACAAACAGCTGAAACATAAGGTAACATAAGACAAGGACAAGGTATAATAGGTTCACAGAAAAAAGAATTGAGATGTGAAAGATCACATGGGGGAAGGCACAGAAATGAGAGAGAAAATTAGAATGGGATGGCAAGTGGTCCAGTTCTACTGGAATTTAGAGTACATGAAGGATGTGGGTTAAACATGGCTGAAAATGTGAGATGTGGCTTAATCGTGAAAGATGCCTCACTACAGAAACATTTACAGCAGCTTTATTCATAACAAATAGGAAATACGAATCTGCATCTATCCAATGACC